CCAAGGGGATGGGTAGGTGGCACAGGAGTTGAAACCATCAAGGGTGCTTTCTGCATTTCAATGGTTCATGCGTGTTTTCCTTGAGACTCTGTATCTCTCCCTTTGATGTGTCCCCAGATTCCTATCTCAAATCTATCTAGTCCCCCCCATCCACCCACCAATCCATAAGAACCCCTAAGGGCCACTAAGTTTTTGTATTTTGGTACTGGAGATGGAACCCAGGGGCACTTAATTAACACTGAGCCGTGTCCCCAGTCTTTTTATTCTTTGACACAGGGTTTTGCTAAGTTGCTTTGGGCCTTGCTGAATTGCTGAGGCTGGCCTTGAACTTGTGATCTTCCTGCCTCAGCCTCTGGAATTATTGGAAAGTATTTTGGATTTGATTGGGTGGGACCTGAAGTGCACAGTGCGGAGGGCTGGAGTGGAGGGGGAGGGGGAGTCTGAGCATGTCCCTATGGACTGGAGGACATAGGAAGCCCATTCGGAGTCTTCAACTGGGGAGTGACAAATCAGCTGGGGTTTTAGAAGTTCCTCTGGAGTGGTTTGGAAAAGACCAGGCCTGAGTTGGGGCTAGGGTGGGGCCGCATATGGAAGGATTTGAAAGCCTTCTGAGAGAGGTGGAGGGTTGCCCAGTCCCTGTCTGGTCCAGGCAGGTGGGTGGAGAGAGACAGAGAAGCCATTCTTCATGGGATGTGGCTTCCTCCCCTGCCATAGTCACTGCCTTGTGCTCCAGGCACCTGGCCCAAGGGAGCAGGCCTCCTGGGCACACAGACCCACAGGGAGCTGTCTCTGTTTCCTTTATGGGAGGGGATTTCAGACTAACTGCTTTTCTGGGCTCCTGTAGCTATGGCAACCGCCCACCCTCTGGCCTGCTATCTTGGTAGAGGTTCCTGTAACAGAGATCCACTTGCTGCTCTGCCGTTGCAACTTACTCTTAACGGACATGTTTCTTTGTTGCAGTGGGCAAAAGGTGTGACATATGCAGTCCAGGGGGAGAAATAAAGAATGTCCACGTGCTTCTGCCCTAGTCAATGCTTTATTCACTCAACTGGCTCAATACAATTTCACTCTGTAGGTTCTTAATCAAGAAAACGGCAATCCTTAATGCTGGGCACTGCAATAGACATAATCAATCCACAGCAGAGAATCCTAGAGTAATTAATTCACAGCAAACAATCCTAGATTAATTAATTCTAAGCCTGCAAACACACTTAATCATGACAGGCTAATGACAGACATTCCCTCTACATATTAAGCTCAAGTGCCAGGTCTAAAGTCTCAAGCCTTAGGCTCTAAGTCCACAGATGCCCACTCACTCAGCAGTGATCAGGTCAGGAACCAAGGCAGGCTTCTCCTGGGGCAGAGCAGGCCGCTGGCTGAGGAGGGGGTCTAGGGAGAAGTTACTGCTCTCACCAGGGTCAAGATATGGCTGTAGAGTTGGAGAGCGGTGAGGAAGATGCAGAGGATCAGCAAACAATGACAGGTGATGGGATGTCAGTCCAGGTCCTCATCAGGCTCTCTAGCTTGTGGGCATCAGTTTCGGCTGGCTGAATATCTGTTCATTTACTCTATTATTTATACTAAATTTTTGGGCTTTTGACCCCTCTTCAATCCTTATCAGCTACCACCGGATTTCTCAGGGACATCATTTACCCTGGGGTTAAAACATCTGGCCTGGTGGTCCCCACCCTGAGCTTTTCGCCTTTACCTTTTATTAGGTCTTTCCCTCTTATCCGAGGAGGCCAGCTTTCCAGAGGCTTCACTCTGAGTTTATCAGGGCRGGGAGAAGTGACTGTTTGTGCCGGGGAGCCATACTAGAGGGCTCTGTTAGGCAAGTGTGGTGAGACTGCAGGTTTCAAACTGGAGTTTTTAAAATGGACTTGCTTAGGCTCAGGCCCAAGACCATCCTCACATTCTTTCCTTTTCTCTCCCCGCTACTCCCTAATTAATTGCTCCTTCTCTTTAATCTCAGGGGGTAGCAGGATTAGCAATCCATCCTAGGCAGAGTTACCTGTCCTTGAGCACATAAGTACACATCACAGGAACAAAGTAATCCAGAAGATCTCAGAAATGACTATCTCCCAAGTTAACAAGTGAATTACAGCTCCAACAGAGAACACATGCTTTTGAATCATCTCCTTAAAAGCCTCCTGCTCCCCTTGATGGACAGAATCACAGCCTCTGGGACAGGAGTTCTCTGTGCTTTTTCTAGAAAGCAATAGAACTTCTTTTCCTCAAAACCATGTCTTTGTTATTGGATTGGCATGGAGACAAGGATGGAGCTTGTCATTTGACAGTTCCTGTGTCATTTGGCACGCTTTTTAAAAAAAAAATTTGTTTTTTAGTTGTAATTGGACATAATACCGTTATTTATTTTTGGGTGGTGCTGAGGAAAGAACCCAGTGCCTTGCACATGCTAGGCAAGTGCTCTACCACTTGAGCCACAACCCCGGCCCTCACTTTTTTTTTGTACCAGAGGTAGAACCCATGGGCACTTAACCACTGAGCCAGCCCTTTTTAGGTTTTACTTTGAGACAGAGTTTTGCTAAATTTCTGAGGCTGGCTTTGAACTTGGGATTCCCGGCCTCAGCTGCTGGAATTACAGGCGTGCCTGGTGCTCTTTTAACTGGAAGACAGAAGGCTGTAGAGTACCCTACCTAGGCCTGTGTTGAGCCTTGGGGCTGTGGGGGTCATGCCACCCTAAGATTTGAAGACCCATGAGGCTGCAGAAGACCAGCTTAGGCTCTCCTCCCGCCCCGGTGGCCTCCTCTCTGGGTGTCCCCTTCCTCATTTGTAAAGGGAGGCAGAGGAGGACCCCAGGAGAGAAGGCTGTGCCACCACCCACCCACAGCAGAGCAGCCTGCAGGCTCACAAAAGGGACCGGGAATTCACGTACACTCCTCTGGGTGCCAGGAGCAGGAATTCTGGTCACCTTCCCCCTTTGACCGCAGTCATCTGGCGCCATCTAAGGGGTAGTTACAAGGTGCAGAGGCTTTAAAAGCTAGTCTAGGTGATGGAGGGCGGGTTCGGCAACTGCACGTGTCACCCCGCCCCTCCTATCCTCAGGTAGCCCCCGCTCCTTCTCCACAGGTGCCACTCTCCCAGCCTGCCCGGACACGGGTGCACAGCTCTCTGAACCAGCCCTCTCTCCCGAATAAAGTCCGAGTTTGAGCGGCCGGACAGGGAGGCCACCTGGCCTTGGGCTGGGGCGGCCCAGGAGCGCTGCCCTGCAGGGGTCAGGCGTGGGCCCTCGAGGGACCAGGCGCGGACGCCCGTCCTGGGGCGCCAGCCCGGGCTGTACCGGCGCAACGAACCCAGCAACACGCTCCAGCGTGTTCCTAGAAGGAACAGGCGAATGGCCCACATCCGCCAAGCTTGAGCTAACGCTTCCGGTAGAAAACGCGGGTCGTACGCGGCTCCTTTAAGGCGGTGCGCCCTCCAAGGCTTTATGGCCCTCGCTGCCGCCCGTCGCCCCACCCCACCGCCCCGCCCCCCGCGCACGCGCGYCGCCGCCCGCCGCCCGCGCCCCACCGCGTCCAGCTYGTCCGCGCTCGCGCCAGGCGGCGGCTGCCGCGACGCCCGCCCGCCCGTCCCTCCACGGCCGGCAGGTAAGAGGCGGCGCGAGTCAGAGGTGGCGGGGCGGGCGGGCTCCCGCAGGACTGCCGCACGTGTCYGGGGCCTCGGTCCGCCGCCGCCGCGTGATTCCTGCCGCCGACCCCGGAGCCCGCCCGCCCTCAGTGTCCCGCGTGCGCCGCCCGCGTCGCCCGGAGGGACCCCGGCCGCGGGCTGAGGCGGAGCGCACCCCGCTCGCGGCGTCTGCGGTCCCCGCGGCAGAGGCGCGCAGCCCCGCCACCTTCGCGCAGGTTTGAGCGCAGCCGCGGTGCCCTCCCAGCCTCGCGCCGGGTCCGAGCCGAGCCCGCAGCCTGCGAGGGGGGAGCCCCGGGAGCGGCCGACTGCCCCGCCGGGGCGCGGGGCCTGATGCGCGCGGACGGGGGCCGTGGCTGCTGGCGGGCGACGGAGGCCACCCAGGTCACCTTTCTTGCGCTGTTTCCCCAAGGCCCAGCCCCCGACCCTTGGCCTGCTGTCTCAGCAGTTCCTAGAACCCGGGCGTTCAGGGAAGGTGGCCCTGGACCCCACTCGGTGCAGTGGGAGCTGGTTTTCTTACATGTTAAGTGTTTTGCTCTCCTGAAGGTTTCTTGTAAGACCATTCTGTGTTGTTCCTCACCAGGGGCCGCCTGCCTACCTCCAGGTGAACGCTGCTTTAGGGGAGAAGGAACTGCTTCCGCAGCCCCCACTCCCCAGTGGTCCAGACCCAGCGCCACAGCCCCTTGTGTTGTGCTGGTGTGGTTCACCGGGGTTGGCGCAGGGCTCAGGTCTTCTCCGCTCTCAGCTTTGTTTGGGTCTCCTTGGTTCCTGTCTCTCTGATGCCTGCCCAACCCACAAAGGAGATGGTGGCCTTGGGGTTACAATCAGAGTGTCTAGGTTGTATCGAGGATAARTAGCAAGCAGCTGGCATTTACCAGTGCTTTGTCCCCAGAGAGGTCTGCAGAACCCCCACSCCCACCCTGCCCCTGGACTTTAGGCACAGCACGATCCATCTCTGGGTGGACTCTGTTGCAGGTGACAGCGTGGCTACACCAGTGTCCTGTGCGGTGGAGTTGTAATTTCTCTCCCTTTGAAGACCAGACATGCTCCTTTTGATGGCCTGTTTCCCCTTAGTGTTACATGGGCCTGTGCAAGACTTCAGTCTGAAGCTCCAAGCTAGAATTTACCGTGTGCAGATTCATTTTCGAATGGTAGAGCTGAGTATCAGTCCAACCAGTGGCATTTGCAAGCATGTCTGTGGCTTCTCTTTTAAAGATGTGTCCCTGGTTGGATAGCACCTTCATGAGGTGCATTCAGGTAGCACGGTCTATCATGTTAGAGGAAACAATCATTGGTTTTGGACTGAGATTGTTAAGCCGAAGCTGGATTGAGCTGCAGTTTTTTTCCCTCTGCAGTGTGAGTCTTAATGCAGGATGCCCAAGCTGCACCCTAGGCTGCTTCTCCGAGGGCAGGATGTGAAAACTCTTGGGGAAGAGCCCACTCTGGTATATTCTTGCGGTTTTTCAGTAGTACTGCATGGGCTTGGAGTCCTGTGAATGTTGGTGTTTGGAAGGCAGCCTTGCATCTGCAGTCTGTGCAGGGAGYAGCGAGGCCCACCCGTAGGTGCTGACCACTGGTTGCGTACTCCTGTGTGTTCACACAGAGCTGTTAACATGATTGCATCCCCTAGGCTTCATTTTATGGTTTGGATGTGCTCCCAGGCTTGTGCACCCTGAAGCTCAGTGTCCTGACATTTGACAGGTTGGTTTCTGTCACGAAACCTTTCTTTTCTTTTTTTCTTTTTGATGTGTCAAAGGTTCCTGGAATCCCTTGTGTTTTGTTTGCATGCTTTGTGCTGCATTTCTGCAGATGCCTGGATAGCGTAATAGGAAGCCCTGCTGTGTGTCTTAGGATCACAGAAGAGGTGAGAGCAGGAATATCTTGGTGCCAACTGAGAAGTGGTGCCGGGAGTTAGGGTAATAGTTACATTCTCCAGTTTGGAACAGCTTCTTTCGAGGCAGGTCTCAATATGGTCAGGTTTTTCTCTTTCTTATCCTTTCTCCTGGAAATTAATTGGGAGGGGGATAGTATGTAGATAGAACCCAGGGCCTTGTGCATGCTAGTGAGCTACACCCCCAGTCCTGGAAATTAATTTTCTAAAAAATGATTTGTTTTTAGGCCTCCATTAAAGGGTTTGCTTAGCAGATAGGCTATTCCCTTGTGACTCTCCACCAGAGGTTTCCTGCCACGTGGGCTTCAGAGCAATGGCCACGGAGGAGAAGAAGCCCGAGACAGAGGCTGCAAGAGCCCAGCCCACCCCGTCCTCATCCGCTACACAGAGCAAGGTGTGCTCCTGGGGCTCTTTGGGGCCTCTGGGAGGTTATTGCAAGCCAATTGTCCAGCCTCCTCTACTCAGATAAGCTCCTTTGTGAGAAGCCACTTTTATTCATCGGCCAYTTATTGTAATGACTGCCTACTGTGTGCTGTGTCAAGGATTCCCACATCTGTCACCTAGGGGGCAATGGTGGGGGGTTGGTTCTGATTGTAAATCTGTGGTACCCAGAAAACATCTCTGAGTAATCATCCCATCCAGCCCCATGTTCCGTCTTTTCCGCAGACCCCCTCCCCAGGCACAGGAAGTAGGGCCTTCAGACGCCCTCTGGGAGGCCTGGGCATGCTGGAACTGTGTGGACTTGGTGGCCATGCCTGGTGTTGGGGACAGGGCAGGGCCCCAAGGGACCTGAGACATGTATCTGGAATGGTGGAGTTGCTGTGCTGAGGGGGGAGTGCAGCAGAATCAGGGCTTTGACGGGGATGTAATGGGCTGAGACTTAGACCTGGTCAACATGAAGGATGATGTTGGGTGGTTGGTGGGTGCTTGGTGTCTCACTGTGGGAGTCCAGGCAGTGACCAGGCAGTGTGGTTCCTTAGGCTCACTTTAGCTGCACTCTCTCCAACAGCCCACACCTGTTAAACCAAACTATGCTCTGAAATTCACCCTGGCCGGCCACACAAAAGCTGTGTCYTCTGTGAAGTTCAGCCCCAATGGAGAGTGGCTGGCAAGCTCATGTGCGTATCATGGAGCACCTCAGATAATGGGATGGTGGTCTGAATCACAGATAAGAGTGGGGTGGGTGTGCTTCCCAGGGGCTTGTGGTAAATGGCGTGTCCCTTCTCTGAAACTGAAGAATCACTGCTTGTTGAAATTATGCCAGTTACCTTTCTGCAGTGAAGGGGCAGAGTTGGGGGGGCTTGCCCCTTCTACTTGTGACTGTGCCTTCGGGTCCCTGAGTGATCTGAGCTGGTTGGCAGGGGCTTAGGGTGTGGGACAGCTCAGGCTCTGGCCTTTGGGTAACTGGACAACTATATTCCTACCCTGAGCATCAGCTCCTTTTCATTTCTTTCAGCTGCTGATAAACTTATTAAAATTTGGGGAGCCTATGACGGGAAGTTTGAGAAGACCATCTCTGGTCACAAGCTGGTAGGTGTGGGGAGCAGGTGGCTCTGGTGCTCTTGGGAGGGAGGTGCAGCTTAATGCCCTCAGCGTGTGATTGCCTGCTGCTGCTCTCCAGCCCTTCAGCTCCACAGGTGTGTGCCTGTCTGTCTCTGAGGCCAGCAGAGCCACTTTCTCTGGGCTCTCTGCCATCTCCTCTGGGCCAGAGTGTGTCTTCCTGTGGCTAACACTGGCCAGAGGATTTCCCCAGGGGGAATGATGAGTGTGGGGACTTTGGCCTTTTGCTGGCCAGTGGTGTTTTGTCCTAGAGGATGGTTACTGTGTTTTTCTCCTCAAGGGAATATCGGAYGTAGCCTGGTCATCAGATTCCAATCTCCTCGTTTCTGCCTCTGATGATAAAACCTTGAAGATCTGGGATGTGAGCTCGGTGAGTGTCATTGGTCCTCTGTGGGCGGAGGTGGTTGAGGAGGGGAAGGGGCCAGGACAGGTGGAACGGGATCGCGGTTGCTCACAGTCAGCGCTGGTGTCTGGGGAGACAGCCTCTGGGAGCCACATGGTCTCATCCTGCTGTGTTGTAGGGCAAGTGTCTGAAAACGCTGAAGGGGCACAGTAACTACGTCTTCTGCTGCAACTTCAACCCACAGTCCAATCTCATCGTCTCAGGGTCTGTAAGTGCGCTGCTCTCTCCTCTGGGAGACGCTGCGGGTGTGCTGTGTCCTGTGCCCATGCCCAGCATGGGACAGGCAGGTCTGGGTTCTGGGGCCTCTGTCATCGCCCCTCCTTCCCATAGTCATTTCAGTCGCCTCTCTTGTCTTCAGTTTGATGAAAGTGTGAGGATATGGGACGTGAAGACGGGGAAGTGCCTCAAGACTCTGCCGGCTCATTCAGATCCAGTTTCAGCTGTAAGTCCCCTTGATGGGTGCATGTRGCTTCACCTGGCACACTTCTGCTGGTGTGCAGCCTCTGGGACTGAGATACCTTTTAGGCCAGTGTGCTGTGGAGGAATGGGAGTGGGTGCCTGTGAGGAACACCCCAGGACCCCTTGAAGGCTGGGAGGCCAGTGGCCACGGCTTTCAGGGGGGTTTCCCCCAGAACTGACTCCCATAGGCTATGCCTGGAAGGGTGTAGGAGAAGAGGGAGCTCTGTGTCAGGCAGGGTGACCACAGTTAGGTGAGTTCTGTGTGTGGGGAGCTGATGGGTGGCAGGGCCTGCCCAGTCACGGAGAGAACCGTGGGGACCTCTGGTGGCAAGGGCATGGGGTCTGTGTCCTGCCATTGCACACACACCATCCCAGTGTGCAGAACAAACGGACAGGAGTCATACTCTATAGAATGTAACAAACTATTGTTTAAGAGAGTGGCCCAAGCCGGTGGCACATGCTTGTAATCCCAGTGGCTCAGGAGCCTGAGGCAGGAGGATTGTGAGTTCAAGGCCAGCCTCAGCAAAAAAGCAAGGTGCTAAGCAACTCAGTGAGACCCTGTCTCTAAATAGAATACAAAATAGGACTGGGATGTGTCTCAGTGGTTGAGTACCCCTGAGTTCAATCCCTGGTACCCTCACACCCAACAAAGAAAAAACACATTTAAAAAAACAGTGGCCCAAGGCTGGGTGAAGCTCTGGCTGAGTGCTTTCTGGGCATTCATGAGACCCTAGGTTCCATCCCAGCACCCCACAGACAAGGTGCTCGAAGGTCTCTGTGTTAACAAGAGCCCCAGGTGGTTTTGTAGCCACACTGTGGATGGAAGGATTGCAGAAGGATCAGGCATGTGGTTTGTTTTAGCCAGCACGAGTGGCTCACTTTTCTTTTTCTTGGTGCTGAGAACTGAACCCAGGGCCTCACCAGTGCTAAACAAGCCACAGCCCCAGTCATTTTTTTAGTTTTCGTATTCTGGGACAGGGACTCACTGAATTACATAGGTTGGCCTCTCAAACTTGTGATCCTTCTACTGCAGCCTCCTGAGTAGCAGAGATTACAGGTTTGCATCTCTCTGCCTGATGGAGCTGCTCACTCTTTGAAGTCCTGGTGGTGTAAGATTTTAAGCATTTTTGGCCTTGGAAGGCTTTTGCCCAGCTAAGACCACATAGCAGACAGACAGGCCACCTGGCCCTTGCTGGCCCAGAGCCGCTGCTAGCACATAGGGCACTCTGCTGTGAGAGGCACGCAGGCAGCAGTGCGCACAGGACTGGCTCAGCCTTGCTGTCAGTCCCTGCTCCCCAGCATCTGAGACCCCAGGTAGAACTGGCTTTCACATGGGCTTGTGAGTGAGCCAGGAAACAGTGTCCCCAAAGAAGCAGGGGCTTGGGAGCTCCCAGTGGTGAGGGCTGCGGGGCTGTCCTCCATGGGTTTCCTGCAAAGGTTGTGTGCACACTTAGTGGAAAGGCAGGCAGGTGAGGAGTCTCCTGAGCTCTGTCCCAGCTGGTGACAAGAGCTGGTGTCCTTGGTGCCTGGGCTTCTGCTTTGTGTGCGTCTTCAGCCTTCTTTGCTGCTGTTCTGTTTTTAGATGACAGTGGTGATGTCTGCTGCTTCATAAGGTCCCTTGGGTGTTCTGGTTGTGTGTATCTGTGGGTCAACATGGGAGGCCACATACCTTGACGGATGCCTTCGGTGACCTTGCTTGTATCTATAGGAGTGACCGGTTTGCACTGCCTTGGCACTTGTGGGACAGCTGAGCAGGCGTGTCTTGAGCTGGATGCTGGGCTGTGGGTGCTTGGCTGGCTTCTCTGTCCCCCTCCACCTTGTCCGCCCTGCTGCTCTGCTGAGCCTTGCCCACATGCCACACGCTGGTCTTTCTGTCCATTCCCCTGGGCGCTGCCTGGCTGTAGCCGTGTTTCCCCTGCTCAGAGGTCTTCCTGGCAGTTCATCTGAGGTGGCACTTGGTCCCCCTGTGAGCTCTGCTTCGCTGGTGTACCTCTTTCTCCCAGTCTATGGTGTGGACTGTGTTACCTTGAACTGAATGTCTGTTGAGTGGAAAAGCCACGTTGAATGGGCCACTTTTGCCAGTAGGTAGGTAAGTGGAGCATGAACTGGGCTTATAAGTTTGGGCCTGTGTTGGCTCGTTGCCATGGAGCAGAGTGCCCTCAACGAGAAAATGCTCAAAATACTCAGGCTGTTTTGTGTGTTTAAGGCAAGGGCTGAGTGTGGGCAGACGGGTTGTAGTTAGTTGGGGAGAACTTTAGGGACAGCCCCCAGATGTTTGGTTAAGGACCTGGTGCTGCAGGAGCAGCTCCGTGTGGGCCGGTAGAAGCAGTGATGACTGTCAGGAAGCTCAGAGCTGCTCTGTCCAGGTGAGGCCACAGTCTCACGTGGTGTCAAGCAGGGATAGTGCTGTGAGTGCAAGGTACAGAGGCAGCACAGTGGAGAAGTGTCAACTACTTTTTCATGCTTTTTATTAGTCTACATGCTGAAYGGCATCTTAGGGTGAATGAGCCTACCAGTTTCACCTGTTCTGTGGACTGGAGCTGTGAGGGACCTCACTACTACTGTGGCTTGTGGTGCCCCCATGGAGTCTAGCTGATGTCCCCTGGGTGAGCCCCCTTGGCCAGCAGCAGTACCTCCTGAGTGTATTTGAAAGGCATGTTTTTGGGCCTGTCACAGCCCTGGAGTCAGGATTCAGCGATGGGTCCAGGTGCTGCCCTGTGTGGTAGCAGTCTCCCAGGAGCCCTTGCTGAATGTGGTCTTGGCTATGTCTGGAGACTTGGTTGTCACAGCCAGGTGCTGCAGGCCTCTGGTGGGTGAGGGACAAGACTGCGGCTACATGGGGCAGCTCCAGGTCAGAGTCTGCTGAACTCTTCAGTGCCCAGGTGGGGGAGCACAGAGCCCAGCCCTATCCCTGCATCATGACACCCGGGGATTCTCTGTAGCTTGACTTACAAAGGAAATGTGTCCCTCAAAGCATGGAGCAAGGCTTGTTCTGAGTCGTGTCTGCCCAAGTCTTCACCAAAAATGATTGAAACTTGTGCTTTCTTTCTTTCTCTTTTTTTGGTCCTGGGGATTGAATTCAAGCGCTCAACCACTGAGCCACATYCACAGCCCTAGCCCTGTTCTCTATTTTATTTAGACACAGGGTCTCGCTGAGTTGTTTAGTGCCTCCTTTTGCTGAGACTGGCTCTAAATTCGTGATCCTCCTGCCTCAGCTTACTGAKCTGCTGGGACTGTAGGCGTGGCCACCGCGCCCAGCACTGTGGGATTCAACTCCTGGCATTGTGGTTCCGTTTATTTCCACCAAGGCTTACTTGGAAAGGAGAATTTAAGAGCTGAAATGAGTCATTGAAGAGGAGGACTGTTGTCGGGTGCAGTGTCCTTTCTATTAGAAAGTGCTGTTCTGGGATGTTGCTCCATGGTGGAACACTTGTATAGTAAGTGCAAGGCCAGAGCTTTAGTCCTAGTACCCCTCCAGGAGAAAAGGAAGGTAAATGACCTCGTTCCCTTCTGGGGAGTAAGGCTGAACCTTTAAGACCTTTAGATGGAGAGAGCCGTTGGTCATTGGAGGTCGTCTTGGGCCAGTGGTATGTGCGGAACTCAACCTCTTCTGAGGCAGGTGTGGAACCACCTGGATCCCTTCTGTCCAGCTGAGAGCTCATGTGGGCTCTCCAGTTCCTGGCCTGGGATCAGCAGTCAGCTAGGTGTCTGGGGCTCAGCTTCTTGGTGGCTCTGGTGGGCAGGCACAGGTATATGAAGGAGAGGGACCGGAATTCCTGCCTTTTGCCTTTCCTTTCTGTTGAGTCAGGGAAGTTAGGTTCGGCTATATTTGCCCTGTCAGGCTATCCCCAGCAGGACAGATAGACAGGCCTGGAAGCCGCCCCTCTAGGGTCCTGTGGGCCTTTGTGGTTTGGCTTGAATTCTGTGGGGTGGTTTGGCTTTGTGCTAGGGCTCAGTCCTCTGTCACTGACTGTGCTGGACAGGGCAGGTGGGGCATCGCTGAACTGGTTGCTCCTGATTGGCTGTGTATGTCTGGGTACCTAGGAGTAGTGAGGCCTGTGTCACCCTGTTGTGAGTCCTGGGTGGAGGGTGCTGGGGAGAGGAGTGGTGTGCGGATGACTTGGAATAATTTCTGTTTTCCTCCTGTTCTTTAATTCTTAGGTCCATTTTAATCGTGATGGATCCTTGATAGTTTCAAGTAGCTACGATGGTCTCTGGTGAGTGAGAGGATCTTATTTCATGTAATCAACAGGTGCTCATTCAAGGCCTGCTCTTGAGCTTTCTGGCTCTGGGGTGCAGTTACAGAAAGGGACACATGTTCATCTTCCAGAAGCACATCCCAGTGAGCTGCAGTTTCAGTGCAGGTGGGGGAGGAGCTAGGGAGGGAGACCAGCCAAGACTGGTGGGGGAGTGGTGGCCAAGAGCTGCTAGYATGTCCTGCATAGCTTGTGGAGAGGCGCTGACCTAGCTCGAGACGACTCTCTGGTGCCATTAACCTAGCAGAGGGTGTCCCAGCCAAGTCCCCTGGGTGTTATGCTGACCTGGAGGAGGTAGATGCTCAGGGTTGGAGGAGATGGGAAGACCCCTGGGGCAGGTACGAGCCGAGGCGGGAAGCCTCCGATGAGTCCTGGCTGGGGACCTGGCTAAGTGGTGGGACAAGGAGGGACCACTGATACTGGCAGAACTTGGCAGTGGGAAGTGAGGGAGGAGTGCTAGCAGAGCGTCCACCTGTAGCACAGAGGAACAAAGAGCATGCCTGGCCATGTTGGTGGGAAGGCGTGAACCACAGAGGGGAGCAGAGTCTGTAAGCATGTGGCAGAGGGCGGTCAGAACCAGCAGCAGGGCCAGTGAGAAAGAGCCCAGAAATACGGCAGCTGGACCTTGGTGATAAAATCCAGAAATGGGAGGAGAATATGACTGGTTTTCTTTTTTCCCCAGTGTTGGCAATCTAAGCCAGGGTGCTCTACCACTGAGCCCTGTTCCCAGCCCTTCTTATTTTTTGAGACAGAATCTCAAAAAGTTCCACAGGCCAGTCTTGAACTTATGATCCTCCTTCTTCAGCCTCCTAAGTTGCTGGGATTTCAGGCATGCACCACCACATCCAGTACGACTTAAAAATCTTTTGATGTTTACGTTTTTAAAATTTTTATGTTTTGTGGAGCTGGTGATTGAATTCAGGCCTTGTGTATGCTAGGCAAGCACTCTGCCACTGGGTCATACCGCAGGCCCATGAATGCTTTTAATGTATCCTGTAACTCATAGGAGGAGGACTTGGGACTTGGTAGATCTGGTGGACACCTTTAGCTGCAGTTTGCTGTGCATAGACTGTATTGTGTGCTGCAAAGAGGAAATGGGTATTTTCTTTTTAAGCACAATTTTTTTTTTTTTTTTTTGGCGGGGGGTACCATGGATTGAACCCAGGGGACTTAACCACTGAGCCACATCCCCAGCTTTTTTTTTTTTTTTTTTTTTTTTGAGATGGGTTCTTACTAAGTTGCTCAGGGACTTGCTAAGTTGCTGAGGCTGGTCTCAAACTTTGTGATCCTCCTGCCTCAGCCTTCTGAGTCACTGGGATTACAGGTGTGGCCACTGTGCCAGGCTAAGATGTATTTGTTAAGGCCAAAAAAGCAAAAATGAGCAAGACTTAAAATACAAAGGGAGATCACAAGTTCAGGGAGGGTGGGCTGTACAGGTTGGTGAGCCTTGCTTTTGGAACGGGTGAGGAATCTGGAGCTAGGTGGTCCATCACCACTGAAGAGCTGGAGAACATGGTTGAAGATCTAAAGGTGTCCTTGGTCCTCATGATTTTATACCTGAGTTCAATAAATAACACACTTTTAAGGTTATCTAAACTTTCCCACACTAGAAAGAGGAGCTCCCTAATCTAATCCATCTTTGGGGTCTTGCATACCCTTCCTGCCCAGAGCCCGAGGGCTGTTCCCTCATGAGCMCTGATGCCCGAATGCCAAGGAGAACCAGCAGACTGAATCTGAGYGTGCCCCACACCTGCCCGGCCAGGGGACTCACAGGGTGATGACGGAGGGGGTGGCAGACACCGAGAGCTGGCTCCCCAACACTGAAGGCGCCAGCCTCCTTGTCATTACCAGTAGAGATAGGTGCCTGAGCAGATCTGGCAGCCCTCCTTGTGGACACCTGTAGTGGGAGACGCCACTGTGGTCATTTGTGGAACCCTGTAGTATGTGGTGACAGGTAAACCCCTTGCCTGAGCCAGGAGCAAAGTGCACCTGGCCGTCCCCCTCACTTGGCACCCTCAGCTCTTCTAGTTAGTATGACAGGAGAACAGTTGGGTGAGGTTAGATGGGGCTCTGTCTCCTCATAGAGAGATATTTACATGTCCTTAAAATTTAAAATTAAGCAGTGCTAAGGTGCTTTGCCCATGTTTACCCATTCACCCCCTTTTGAGGGTCCTTCCTTGGTTCTTGTCATCCCTACTTTGTGCTTGGGAAACTGAGGCTGGCATAACACTTGCCAGTTGTCCCTCGGCTGGCCAGTGACAGGCAGGACCCAGGCTTCGCAGCTGGGCTGTGAGTCCCAGCCCTGCTGCCACGGTCTGTGCTGTAAACTGGGCCAGGGGCTGTTCTCCTGTCTGCTGGGAGTCACCAGCTAGAAGATGGGGTGCTCTGGTGTGAGAGCAGCACAGCATGGAGCTGTTCAGGAGTGTGCTCATCAGAGACCAGGACCTCAGAGAACGGGCATCTGATGGAGGACACCTGTCTGGTGCAGGGTGGGACTGGCAGCACTGCCCTGAGCTTCTACAGTGTGAAGCGGTTGCCTTAGAGAATCCCCCCAAGTTCTTGCTGCAGCTAGGTAAAGGGGTGAGGCTGCAGGGCAGGAGGGCTGCTGCCAGCTCAGTGGGTTCTCGGAGCTGAGGTGGCCTCCTAAGCACACAGGTGGTCTTGTTTGGGGATCCCAGTGCTGTGGGGTCCCTCCTAAGGCTGGGGAGAAGAGGCCATATCAGAGTAGCCTGGGGCGTTGTCGCCTTGGGGTACAAGGAGTATGGCCCAGCCTGGGGACTGGGGAACTTACACTGGGAGATGACCTGTGCACGTGTTATGGTTATCAAGTTCCCACGTTCATCCAGCACCCCCACCCAGCATCTCTGGAAGTGTGGGTGCTGAGACAGTGCACGATGGGGCATGCTTCCAGTGTGCATGTTGGCAGAGGTCACAGGAACYGTGAGACGGGCGTGACGTCAGAACCTGGCATGACTCCTGTTTTCTTGTTACTGAACTAATGGGGTTGCTAGGAAATGGCACCAGCCTCCTTTTTACAAGTGTCTGTCCTGCCCTGCCTGCCTGTGTGTTGGGGGTCTGTGGAGTCTAGACCTGCCGGTGAGCCCTGCACCGCACCCTCGGCCTTGGCTGCCTTCTGCACAAGAGCCTAGCCTAGTCCCTGGGCCGTGGAGGCCTCCTGTGCTCACAGGCGTGGTGCCCGGTCAGTGTCTAGATCATAGGAGAACAGCTGCCCAGGTTGTGAGTGCAGTGGGGCTGGTCCCAGAGCCAGTGGTGGCAGCTGGCCTTCTCATATGGTTTTGTTCTTGCTTTGAAGCCGCATCTGGGACACCGCCTCGGGCCAGTGCCTGAAGACACTCATTGGTGAGTGTGCCATAGGGGTGGGGCTGGGTGGGGCTGGGCCTGCGCTCTTCATCTTCACTGTCGTCCATCTCCTACTAGCATCTACTTCCTGTCGAGCTCTCTTGTTCCTTTTGTGAAACTTGCTGCTGTCTTCTCTCAGGCCAGTCTGGGGCCCCTTGGCCTGTGTTGTCTGGTCTTGCTCAGGGCTGCTCCACTGTGTCCTCAAGTACYTGTGCCCTGCTCCTGGCTGCTGCCTCTGGGGAAGTGTGCTCTCCTGTTTGGGTGCTGCTGAGGCCTGAGGGCTTCTTAGGGATGAGGGAAGGGGAGGACCTGGCATGGCGGGGTGGGGCAGGTGGAAGCCTGTGGCTGGAAGGGTGTTCCCTGGAAGGTTGGTGTTCAGGGCCCAGTCTCTGCAGGCCTGGAGAATTGCAACTTCAGCCTAGGATGCAGAAGGGACAGCGGTGAGGAAGCTGGGTGGTGGTCACCCCACAGGCCTCCCCTCAGTGTGTCCACCTGGGAAGCTGTCTTCGGGTTAGTCATGGTCCTGAAGCTCTTGGTAGGGCCCCATGAGTGGGGGACAGTGTACCTGGACAGTGGCCTTTATGCCTTCCTGCTCTGGAAGCCCATCTTATTACCACCCACAGCAGACTCATAACTGTGTCTGTCAGCTTGTCTCCTGGTGCATGCCCAGCTCTGCTGCCAGGACCTGTCCTGGTGCACAGAGACCAGGGAGGTGCTACACATGATATCTACGTGCTCCTGTTACCACACTGTTGTCCTCACAGTAAGCTGCCCTCAGGGGTATCTGCCTGTCACAGAGCAGGTACTGTAGGCAGAGAGAAGTCAAGTTAACTGTTCTGAAGCCATACAGCAAGTGCAGCCATTGCTCTGTCTCTGGGGGATTGGTTTGAGGACCTCCCATGAATACCAGACTCCTCAGGAGCTTKGTCCCCTGTGTAAAAAGGCGTGGCTGGAGTAGGGCCCGCGCACATCCTCATCTCTAGATTGCTCCTGTGTGCAGCAGAAACAGTGGTCACACGGAGGTGGACTTGCAGCGCGGGGCTCCACGCTGGCCAGAGTGCAAGGCTGGCAGGTGCCCGGAGCAGGGTCTGTGTGCGCTGAGCCCCCTCATCCACGGGGACCAGGCAGTGCTAGTCTCACAGCAAATTCAAGTCTCGCCTTTGAGATTTTCTGGAATATTTTTGTTTTTGTAGTAGTTTTGACCTGTGGCTGATTAAGCTGTGGGACGTAGACTGCAAGTGGCAGGGCCAGGACTTGGGCCGGGACTTGGGCCTGGCGCTGACTAGAAGAAGGCCTGAGAGACAGGGCGGGGTGGGGGCGGAAGTGGCGGGGTGGCCGTCTCTCCTCGGCCTAGTGAGCTAGATTGCTGGGGCCCAAATGGCCAGGCAGCTGGTGTGTCCGGTGTCCTGCTGGTTAAAGTGGCTTGGGTTTAAGCACCGGATGCCGTTTGCACAGGTGAGCCAGCGGGCCGAGCTTCACACTGCCTCGTGTGCCTTTTCAGTGTGGGTGACCAGCCCCAGCGAGCGGAGGCCCTGGCAGACCCCTGGTGGTAATGCCGTGTGCTTGGGGCACGGGGCATGGGGACCCTGGCAGGCTGGACAGCCCCTTCCCAGGAGCACCTCCCCTCTTTACCCGGGAAAGGGTAGACGCCCTGGTCCCCCTGGGAGAATGTGCATCCTAGCGTCCCTGAAGTGGACCTCGACGTGTCCTCAGCGGAGACGGGTGGCCCCTGCCTTTGCAGGCCCTGCGTTGAGCTTTAAAACCAGGGCATGAGGAGCAGAGCTGGGGGTCACAGAGGCTGGGCCCTGAGCTACACCAGAGGAAGGCATCACCAAGGCTCCAGCCCAGCTTCCCCTGAGGAGGTCTCCCGGCCCCCTCAGGGACTGGCGAACCTCAGTCTGTGTGGGGCAGCCAGTGCCTGTCCCCCAACTGAGGAGGCCCCTCAGGCACTTTGTTCCTCAAGTCCTGGCATCTGAGGGCCCTTGGGTCCAGGATTCCAGGCCTCGAGAACACACTACAAGGCTGCCCTGGGATGGGGAATGGGTGCTGGTGGCTCTTCAGGGGCTCCCAAGGGTGGTGGTGCTGCACTGGTGGCAGCAGCCTCACACGGTTGTCACACTTGGTGACGGGGAGCAGCCGTTGGGCAGGCTGTCCTGCTCTGTGTGTGAGTCGGCCTGCCTGTTTCTGGCACAGATGATGATAACCCCCCGGTGTCCTTTGTGAAGTTCTCTCCAAATGGCAAATACATCCTGGCTGCCACTCTGGACAAGTAAGTGCTTGATTTGTGTCAGGGGCGGGGTGTCTCCCACCAGCATGGAGCTCTGCAGGCTCCTTGTGCTTGGCATGGTCCAGACCTAGTGTGGCTGGGCTGTAGCTGGTCTAGCTGTGCCTGGAGCTGCAGGCAGGACAGGCGCTCTGCCCCTGAGCTGCCCCTCGGCTCCTGAGCACCTGGTTTACCCAGATTGGATAGAGGTCTCCCCTGTGTGCATGCTTGGCATGGCCCACGTGGCTGGGTGTTTTCCATGGTCTGCACCCTCCCTGGGCTCAGGGAGAATCTCACTACCCTGAGTTTGGTCTGTGGGATCTGGAACTGAGGACTTGCCCCACCTTTTTGGGACTGGCAGCTGAAGGAGGGGCTACAGTCCCCAGAAACTGAAGTCTGGCTGTGAGCTGCTCATGTGGGGGGTTCTCCTGCTGGCTCCAGCGTGCCATCAGGTTGCTGGACTTGGTAGACCTGAGTCCCCCTGGTCTGGGCACCCTTCCCTGGTGGGCTGGGCTTCCGATCCCAGCAGCCTCGTGCCTGGTGCTGGTGGTCTCTGGTTGTGGTGGCGTGGCGGCAGCTCCTTACCCCTCTTTGTCTTGCAGCACGCTGAAGCTCTGGGACTACAGCAAGGGCAAGGTGAGCTCTGGCCCGGGGTTGTTGGCGGTAGTGCGGCAGTCTGGGAAGCCGAAGCAGAAGGGGCTAGGGGGCCCACAGACCTGGGGTTTCTTGCTGCCAGCATGCAGGTTGAAGCTTAGACTGTGGTTGGACCCTRGGTTGGGCTGTGTGGGTTCTGTGTATTTAGAATAATTTCCAGATTCAAGTTCAGCCAGCAGACTGTGCTCGGATCTGAGCRTTCTCCAGAATGCAGGGACCTGGGCTCTGACCCTGCTGCGTCTGCCTTTTCAGTGCCTGAAGACGTACACTGGGCACAAGAATGAGAAGTACTGCATTTTTGCCAATTTTTCTGTGACTGGTGGGAAGGTGAGTCCCCTTTTAGTAGCCTGCCACCCTCCTCCTCTCTTCCTGTTGCCACCCCACAGGTGGCTCATGTCCTTCAAGTTTTCCTGAGCCCACAAGGTGTATGTTCTAACAGGGTCGGGTCACAGCTGTGCAGTGCAGGGGCACCTCCTCCCCTGCTGCTGGGCCCACCTCACTCCTGGGGCCAGCCTTGCTAAGGGGCCGAGATGTCACTGGCCAGCATTGTCTTCCTGGAGTCGGGATGCTGCGACTGTGGCTTGCGTTAAGCCCTCTGTCCTCCCAGGCCTGTCCTCCCCGCCTGGACTCTGGTGTCATGCTCTGACTCTGTCCAGTACCTAAGAGTAGATGGTGACTCTGGGCGGAACGACAGCAGAGCCCAAGGGTGGTGCCTGAAGGGAGCAGTTCACACCCTGGAGGCCCTTGGGGGATTGAGCTCTTGAGTCTCAGCTCAGGCTGGGGTGAGGGGTCAGGGCGACTGGCAGTCCTGCTGGAGACCGGGAGCTTTGTGTTTTGGGTTGAGCATAGCATCCACGAGAAGGATGGCGCCCTGGTATGTAGCTGGAAGTTCAGCTGTCCCCATGCTGAGCGCTGGCCTGTCTTCTCTTGTCCCCGGCTGTGGTGACTCAGTGGATCGTGTCTGGCTCTGAAGATAACCTGGTGTACATTTGGAACTTGCAGACGAAGGAGATTGTCCAGAAGCTGCAGGGGCACACAGGTGGGCCCCCTGGGGGGTGACTGCCTAGGGGCGGGAGGCGTGCTCTGGGGATGTGGTCCCTGCTTCCTGCTCCTCTTTCCAGGCCTGCCGCCAGGTGTGTAGCGCTGGGCCCCAGAGCTGGTCAGTCCTGGCTTGTGGTTCCTGGTTCATGCCCAGGGCTCTTGGCCTCACCTGCCCTCCTTTTGCCAGATGTCCACTTGGCTCTGTGATTCCCAGGAGGCTGAGGTGTGCGATGGTCCCCTGGTGGCAAGCTGCATTTTCTAGAGGCTCCAGCCTCTTTGAGGAGGCGCTTCCCACCTCCAGCAGAGGGTGCTGAGCAGGCGCCTTGCGTCCTTGGCTCTGAGGGGGGGCTCCTGTGCATTCTCAGTGCCCTCCGCTGTCCCCTAGCTGCCCTTGTCCCTGCTCTTCCCCTTGGGTCCTGGGAGCAGCATGTGGCGCTCCTTTGGAAGTCTGAGGGGTGCTGTGCTTTCTCCCTGAGGTGGCAGTCTTGGGGCTCAGTTTACATAAGGCTGCAGACACCTGACMGTGCCAGCCTGCTGTGCCAGCTCCTTGGTGCCCACGTCCCTGCCTGGTGTGCAGTTGCCTTAAGGTGGCTGAGCATCCTGGTGGGGCTTGGGCTCTGTTCCGTGGTGGGGGGAGGCACAGAGGTCACCTTGAGAGAAGAGCGACCCCTGCTGGTAGCAGCACTTCCAGCACTTGTCCTGGAACCCTTCCTGGGTGGTCACCGGCTAGGCATGGTGTGGCCTTGTCCTCCAAGGCCAGCAGGGCAGCGGGGCTGGCCTTGACCCCTTTCTTTTTGCAGACGTTGTGATCTCCACGGCTTGTCACCCGACAGAGAACATCATTGCCTCGGCTGCGCTAGAAAACGACAAGACCATTAAACTGTGGAAGAGTGACTGCTAAGTGCCCTGGTGCCATAGGGGCTGTTGGGACGTTGACCCTGATGGGCAAGAAACGTGGCAGAGGGGCCCAATTCAGGCCTGAGGTGGCCGAGGGGAAGTGCACGCCACCAGAAGGTTCTAGAGGTTGCTGTGACACTTCTGCCAACTCTGCCCTGTCTGGGAGGAGATCCCAGTCTGTTGTGCTCAGAGAGGCAACCAGATTTTTAATTTTTTATTACAAGAGTGAAGTTCAATTTATCATGGGTTGTGTTTTTTCCAGTAATTGTTCTGTACATTTTTGATATTTTACTACCCAGTGGGAGCGCTGTGACCAGTMCCCTCCTGGGGCCCTGGGCCACTTTCCCAGTCCCTCCCACCCTCGCCTGCCACGTGGTGTCCTCACRCCGCAGCTCTGCCTGCCTGCCTGCCTGTCCGTCGACCCCTGCCTGTTGTAGTTCCCGGCGCGTTTCCAAGTCTTCCTGGAAAGTGCAGCGCTGTAAGGTTGCCTGTGTGAAGTCCTGTGTTTTGGGAGTTGGAGGCTGGTGGCCTGGCAGCTTGGTGGCTGCAGACAGTTTCCCCTTCGTGCCCAGCACTCACACAGCTGCACACGAGCTGTAATAAAAGGTGGGATTTTATATACACTTGTCCACGGCGTTCTGATGTGAAGCTCGTCCCCTGGAGGAGGACAGGAGGTTGGAAGGGGCTCTGTCCCAGCCCCTGCTGTTGCCTCCTGTCTGAAGGCCAGTGGGAGGGGACGCTCTCCATTGTCAAGGAGCGAAGCCCTGAAGTGGCCTGTGTGGCAGGAGGTGCCTGAGTGGCTGTAAACAGGTTGGGCTCAGGCCAATTTGTGCGGGAGGGAGGAGGGCAGGTGTTGCCTATCCCCTTGTTGATGGCCTGAGGACCAGCAGGTTGGCTGCCCCTGAAGGCACGACCTCCTTCCTTCTTGGTGGCTTCTGCTGCGGGCTCCTCAGGGATGCTGGGTGCTGCCCKTGGGCCTGCCCCTTCCAGTCCCCACCCAGCTGGAGCCTCTGCAGCAACCTGGCAGGTCTGGGAGGTGGCAACTGAGCTCGGAACCTCAACTGCWGTTTGTCACAGCTGCTGCCTCTCTGTGCTCCTGGGGAGCCTGACCCTGAGCAGGGTGGATGCAGGGGTTCCGACCCAGGTCTGCTGGGTGAGATCTTGTTGGTGAGGACACGGTGGAAGGCTTGTCCCCTCACCTGTGTGCCCTGACTACAGCAGTGCGTGGAGCTGGTGCTGGTGCTTGGGAAGCCTGCCAGGTTTGGCCGGCTCCCCTGTTAGGGCCCCAGGTGGACGGGCCTGGGAGAGGGAGTTGGGGCTTTCCTGGAGGGGCAGTGGGGTCAGTCAGCTGTCCCTAGCCAGGCTCATGGGGATCCTCCAGTGGCTAAACAGGGTGAGGTAAAAATCCTATAAGGAAGCTTCCTGCAGTTTCTGTCTCCTCCTCCTGGAAAGGTGTAAGCACGTGGGTTATCTGTTCACGAAGCCCACTGCGCAGGAAGAGGTGGCTTCTAACGTCGGTTGCAGCCCTGTACTGCCACTTGCTTGACTGTCACCAGAGGGTCTGTGCTGCTGCGGCTCCCCTGGCACTTCCTGAGGGGAGCGGCGCCTGCCCACCCTGCCTTCTGAGGATACAGCCCCTTCCTGGGTGGAGGAGGAGCTTGCTATGCTCAACGCTGTATTCTTAAATATAGTTTATTTTTTCTACAGTTGAATTCTGTTGTAGATTTATGTAAAAATACACCTCTTTTTGGAAATAAAGATTTTCATGTCTTGTAATTTTGTCCCATAAGAATTTCTTTTCTTTTTTAAATAGCACAAATTTTTATTTCTCACTTCCTTTGACAAGGAGCTGGTTGAAGTCCTTCAAGGGTGCAACATCACGATCCCTGTGTCCAGAGTTTAGTGGGAAGCTGGTTTTGGAATTTGGCCATAACTCACACTGTCCTGGGGCTTGAGTGGCCTTTTCCAGGCAGGTATGTCCTTGGTGCACACAGGACATCCCCCACCTGAGCTGAGTGCAGCCTTGCCTCGGGCACTGCCACCTTCCATCCTGCGGGAGCTTGTGTGGGTGAGGGGAGGTGGTGTGCCTGCTCCTCCTGCAACACAGGAAGGGCACCAGTCTCCATGTACTGTTTCCACTCTGCCTTTCTGCTGTCACTCCTCTGCTAGCCCCTTCTGTAATTAGGGTTCCAAAACGTGGGTGCCTCCAGCCACAGTGAACATCAAAGGCCATTTATAGATTTGGGGTTGTCTACAGGATCCCCATGAAATAGATTGATTTTATTTTTGAATTTCAACTTTTAAATTTTGAATTTCAAGTTTTAAATTAGGCATTCTCTGAAATTGCATGTGTTAAAGGTAGAGATGTGTAGGGACACGTTCTGGTGTCCAGACAGTGGGGACCAGCGCCCGGCTGGGTGTAGGTACTGTGGCTCTCCATCTTTTGGGTGAGCTGAATCTGGATCATCTTATTCTTGCTCACACAGGCTAGTGAAGGTGTTGACACCATGTGAAGAACTAGCTGATTTAGAAAAGAGCTTGTACTCATTTCAGTCCCAGAAATGCCATTGAAACAGCCAGCAAAAAGCTGGGGACATAGTTCAGTTGGTAGAGTGCTTGCCTTGCATGCACAAGGCTCTGGGTTCAATCCCCAGCACCCCCCCACACACACATACACCAAAAAAGAAAAAAAAAAAAAGCTTCTATGGTGGCCTTCAGAGGTGTGAGGTTTAGAAGTCCTTCCAGTGGGGCATTGTGGCCCCAACTATACACCCAAGTGATTGGAGGCTGAGGCAGGAGGATTGCAAGTTGGAGGGCAGCCTCAGCAATATAGTAAAAACTAAACTGAAAAGGGCTGGAATGTAGTTCTGTGGTAAAGCACACTGGGGTTAAGTCCTCAGTAACAAAACATCTCAACAAGTTGTGGGTCCAGCAAGCACCAGGGGTGCACAAAATGGCCTAAATTTCTAACTCACAATGTAGTTATGATGAGGAGGGTGACGGTCCTTGACATTGGCCCTCAGACTGATCATTGTCTCCCAGTGTGCTTTGCATGGTTTTAAAAAATAATTTATTATTGTGGAAGTTAGATATTTGTGTTAATTACTGACATTAAGAGTGCAAAGCTGGGGGCTGGGATTGTGGCTCAGCGGTGGAGCATTAGCCTGCAGGTGTGAGGCCCTGGGTTGGATCCAAAAAAAAGAAAAAAGGTAAATACCTTTATGTCCAACTATAACTTTAAAAAAAGTGCAAATATGATAACTCAAATTTCTACCATTGCTAACAATTTGGGGATGTCTTAAATGTAGTCACTGTTACAGAAGCTTTCAGACAGAACAGTGGAGAGAGGGAGGCCTGGTGTGGTGGCACCAACTGAGGCTAACTGATCAACTTAACCGGATCCTGCTTCCCCTGCCCAAATCATTCCCCTGCCCAAATCACGCAGCCCTCATGTTCTGTCCCCTGCTGCTGTTCCCTGGAGGTCAGAGTTTGTCCTGTGAGCGAGACTATCCCTACACTGTCCCACCCTAGAACGACGGGATCTGAYGCTCTGACTTCTCAGTTGTCTTGTGCTTTAACGCACTTGCGGACACTCCTGGACCTCCCCCCTCCCCCGCGGCACGCAGGCACGGTACCAGCCAGGTGCCTTTCCATCCCGGACCACGAGGTGGCGGGGGGGGGGGGGGGGGGGGGGGAAAAAAAACGATGGTTAGATGCCACTAAGTAGGTGGCAATGCCTTAACCGTATGCGTGTTGTCAGGCCCGAGGGCCTCTTCCATCCTTGTCAANGGGGGGAGGAAAAAAAACGATGGTTAGATGCCACTAAGTAGGTGGCAATGCCTTAACCGTATGCGTGTTGTCAGGCCCGAGGGCCTCTTCCATCCTTGTCAAGGGGAGTGCTAACCTTCTCTCCTTTCATACAACACGTCTGAATTTGCGCAAGGTGGCTATTTAAGGACCACTTTCCTGCACACCTTTTGGTAATGGTGACTTCCTGTTCGCCATCAGTAGCAGCCACAGGTGATTACAACTCTTTGACTATTGAGTCACCACTACTACATTTGATCGCCTTTATTAATTTGAATAAGAAGGGAGCAGATTTTTTTGCTTATGCTTTAATGAATTCATAAATCCAGCCAATCAGGATAAGGGGAACACCGGAAGTCACGAGCGTCTTTCTAAGAAGCCTACTCCCCCGGAAACAAAACAGGGCGGGCGCGCACTTCCTACGGATGGGTACACGTCTCGTGGACGGCGGGAAGAGGAACCKAATTGTCTGCGGAAGTGGAAATGGCGGGTGACGAATCAGAGGACGAGGATCGGAGATTCCCCGCATCGGACTTCCGGACGCGGCCCACGCGCGGAACTGTGGGTGCTGCGCCTGCTCTGCGCTTCCGCTCAGGTCCGCGCCTGCGCCATGCCGCTCCGCCTTTGGCTGAGGATTCGAATCCCAGAGCCCGCGCCGCCTCTGGCTCGCGCGTTCTCTTCCGGGCCTGGATGTCGGTGCGGCGCTGCAGACCGGCATCCGGCTGTCGTTCCTGCGCCAGGCGCTCAGGCTCAGTTCTTTTCTGAAAAAAAGCCAGTGAGCTCAAACGGCCAGGCTGCACCAGCCTGATCGTCACACCACGACGGTGTGTCCACGCGTGCGCTCGTGTCCGCACGCGCACTCCCGCAGGCCGTGTGCACACGCGCACCCCCGCCTCCTCCCCTGGAGACGGCCCGGAGTGGCCCGAGCGCCGGGAGGACGCGGCGCCAGGCGTGCCCGTGTGGGCACTGCGCAGAGGGCAGGGCGGCCGCGCCTCGGCCCGGGTGCCCGGCCTGGGAGCTGGGCGAGCCCGCATTAGCGACAGCGAGCGCGGGGAGCAGGGGCAGCGGGGGGCAGGGCCTCGGCGGGGGCAGCGGGGGGCAGGGCCGCGGGGGAGGCAGCCCGCAGGAGCGGCACGCTGCCCTCAGGCTGCGGAAGGAGAGGTTAGAGCGGGCCCCAGGGTCCGCAGGGACCTGCGATGGGGACCGGCAGCCCTCACGTCCTGACCACCTGCCTGCAGTCGCATTTGTCCTGGTCACATTCACCTGGCCTCCGTTTGTTCCAGACCTGAACTCTGCCATCTTACCCGGAGGCCCGGGGTGTTAAAATGCTAAGCCCTAACTTCGCCTTGGGGGTCCCAGTGGCCTGGTGAGGTTAAGAGAGATGTCCTCAGCACCGCCAGGTCCTGCCCTGACCCCTGTCGTGGCTGGGGAGGGGTTACAGCCAGGGCGAGGGTGGGCAGCTGACCCCGCACAGGCCTGGGCACCACCTGGGTGTGAGGTCAGGGAGGTCCCACCCAGGTGTTCTCTGACTTGGCCCCCAGCCCCATCAGAAAGAGGGTGTCCCAAGGAGGAGGCCATAGGCCAACAGCGACAGCTCCCTGCTGTGGGCAGGAGCTGGTTGGACAGTCTGCTCCTCTCCTGTCTGTCAGCTTCGCTGCGTCATGGCTCACAGCTGGTGGCTTTGGCTGTAGCCCTGCACACGGGAGGCTGTGTTAGGCACAGGGCTTGCTCTTTCCTCAGTCTGCAAGTTCATGGTCTCTGATTGTTTGGAGTGTGAGGGGGCAGCTGGGTCCTCCTGAAGGCCAGACCA